CCCCCCCCCCCGCCACCGCCGCGGGATTGAGGACAGACTGGAACTCAGTTCTGGAACTTGTAGCCATTCCTGCTTTTGTACAGACACCTTGGTTGGTTAGTTGCCCTGATGCCACTGGGTGAAGGGCTAGGTATGAATATTTTAAATAAAAATGTAATCTACCTGGTGGTATTACCAAACTGATAAATACAAGAGTCTTACCTGTCTGTCCTGAAGAGGTGAATATATACTCTCTGTCCTGGAGAGCCTGCAGCCACTGGGAAATTCGGGACGGAAGGAATAACCCCTACCAGCAGGGGCGAGGACCCCCTGGATCTCCAGGAGATTTGGCCCATGGCACGCACCAGCCCCGTCCGGCATGGCTAACGGTCAGGAGCTGTTGGCCAAAACATGCAGGGAGGGGAGCGAAGAGCTGCCCTCCCTCTTCTGCTGAAGTACCTTCTCCAGATGCAAACCGCCCGTGGCTCTTTTTGACTCATGAAGCACAGGCCCAAGGCAGTTCCCTCTCAGCCGGTTATGGTTGCGATGCAACATCAAATGCCAGCTTTCCAGGTAAGGGCACTTTAAAAGGAACCCAACGGACAGGGAGAAATTTCCCAGTTCTGATGGCCAAGGGGCTATCGGAACCCAGGCGTCCCGAGTCCTCCTCCAACGTTCTGTTCCTGACAGTCTCCCATCATCAGGTTCTGGAAGTCATGGGAGATGTCTTTGTTGTTGTTTAGTCAGTCTCCCATCATCAGGTTCTGGAAGTCATGTGAGATGTCTTTGTTGTTGTTTAGTCGTGTCCGACTCTTCGTGACCCCATGGACCAGAGCATGCCAGGCCCTCCTGTCTTCCACTGCCTTCCGGAGTCGGGTCAAATCCATGTTGGCCGCTTCGATGACCCTGTCCAGCCAACTCGTCCTCTGTCGTCCCCTTCTCCTCTTACCTTCACACGTTCCCAACATGGGGGTCTGTTCCAGGGAGTCTTCTCTTCTCATGAGAGATGGCCAAAGTATTGGAGCCTCAGCTTCAGGATCTGTCCTTCCAGTGAACACTCAGGGTTGATTTCCTTCAGAATTGATAGGTTTGCTCTCCTTGCACTCCAAGGGACTCTCAAGAGTCTCCTCCAGCACCACAATTCAAAAGCACCAATTCTTCGGCGGTCAGCCTCCTTTATGGTCCAGCTCTCGCTTCCATACATCACTACTGGAAAAACCACAGCTTTGACTAGGTAGACCTTTGTCGGCAAGGTGAGGTCTCTGCTTTTTAAGATGCTGTCTAGGCATGTAGACAGCATCTTAAATGTCTAAGGAGAGATGTCTAAGGAGAGGCTTCTCACTGCCTGCCCTCCAGTGGATTTCCGAGATCAATCTGGGATTTTCACAGGGATCTCGAGAGACACTCCATCTGTTGCCCTTCGCTGGCTCTCCCGGTGCCCACAGACAAGCAGAGAGCTCTCCTTTGAAGCCGACTCCTCATCTCTTCACAGGATGCCTGTGGAATCCATCTTTTGAACATGGTGCTAAGAATGCCGTTGCCACTTGGGAGCCTAAGAACAGGGATCCCTCTCACCCTCTTTCTCCCATCGCACCGGGACCCAATCCCACAACCATGTACAGTATTCAGTGTACCTAAACCTGTGAACCCCAACGTGGGCACTCAGTGGAGCTCAGGATGTGGACTATAATCCATGGAAGATCTGATGGGGCAGAGAATATGTTCATTATTATGGTCCCTTAAATTTCATGAGTGGGCACTCCGCCTCACACCCTCCCCCCTCAGTTATTATAAGAACAAATCGGAGGAGACATGGCTTCTGCAGTATATGTTTGAAGCGTCCGGTTGCAGAGTCCATGAACAGTCAGCTTGAATCAAATATGAATCACGGATAAAAAAGAGTCAAACGCTGCTTCTTCTGCGTAGTATTTTCAAGCTGTCACCAATGTCCAATTTCAAATATTGTGAGCTGCCTTGGGTCCCTTATAGGGGGAAAGGTGGCATGTAAATAACATCAATAAAATAAAGTGAATAAAATAAATCAGGAAGCATTGGAAAGAGAGGGGGTCCCTAATATCTCCATGTGACCCCCCCATGCAATCCGTTAGTTCTAAGACATGAACCATACATGTTCTGGGCCTGAAGGCGTGATGCAAATAAGGCCTCCTTTTCATTCCCTTGGGATCCAGGGAGGGGGCCGAGGGGCCGTTGAGACTCCATCAGTCAGAGACAGTCTGTATCTCACCAAGGAGCTTCCCTGATCCCTTCGACAGCCTCTTATCACTTTGTCGGCAGCTGAGAGGTGCGAAGGGGGAATATTGACTTCTCTGCACTTCCAAAGTCCTTGCGAGAGAATCTCTCATGCGGCATTTCTGAGCTAGGCATCGAGCGGCAAGGCTGCGTGGCAGGAAGCATGCCCTGCCCTGCGGACTCCTGTCTCCACACAGAACAGGATGGCGCTCCCTCTCTCCCAAGAGGTTCTGGAGCCGTGCCCGGGGCCCCTCAAACACCATCCGTTATCTCCCAGTAAAATGCGGGAGCCTCCATCTATCCGAGGGCAGCCATGTGGCTGAAAACAGGAGATCTTGGACAGGAGGGGGGCTGAGGATTCTCTTGACTGTGAGCCCCCCTGCCTTCTTTGGTCCCACCTGTTCCAGACTTCCCTGGTCAGTGTCATATTTGTAAAAATTCTGCGATATGGCTTCTTCCTGCCACCCTCCAGTGGCTGTAAAAAAAAAGGGCAGTCGCTCCTTTTCAGTAATTTTGCTATGGTTTGTGGGAAACTGATAAAAAGCTGGCCCGATGACCTTTCCCCAAAATTGGCAAGGTTGTTCTGACGAGCAAGGGCTGGAACCATTTTGTGGCCCTTCACACCAGAAGAAATGGGCAATCTCACCAGGGATCATGAAGGCACGCACGCACCTCTGTATACAGAATCAGTGTTAACCGGTCGTATTAAGGGCTTTGCCGGCGTTGGCTGCCATTCTGCTGGGTTGAAGAGATGTGCTGGCCGGATGGCAGCTGTGCGTAATGAGAGAAAAGGTATTTCTGTGGCTTCCTAAGTGGAGAAGAGCGAATTTTGCAGATGGGAGCTTTTCCCACTGCTGATCCATGCGCTGTGGCATGAAAACCTGCACGATCCTATTGAAAGGAAAGATGTTCCACCTGTGTTTGCAAAGAAGTCACGCTACGTTTTTCCTTTGTCTCTGAAAACTATTCTGCATAGCAGGTTTGGTGCGGTAAAAGTACCTGATTTGTGCCAGGCTCTTTTGATTCCCCACCACCACCACTACCCATACAATAGAATGGTTGTCTTGGTAACAAGAGAGGCAAATCTTGGCTTCCCCAACCTCTTTTGTCCCTTGCAAAGAATTTGATGCTGTCATTGCTCTCATCCTTGTTCTAGGCTTTGTTATGGGCTTTGTAGGCATCCTTTAGTCTCGACAGATGAGGGTCAGGTGCTCTGAACGGAGGACTTGGAACAGCAGAAGGCCAATTCGAGAGTGATCATCCCTTCCACACTGAAGATAAACGCAGTCTGTCCCCTGTCCAGCTCCCTGATTGTGCTGCTTTTGGGACGGCCTCTTTGCCTCAACCTGCTGGACAAGGGTCTCTTCAAATTGGGAGAGGCCGTGATGCACCGCCTGCCTCCAGGCTGAACGCTCAGAGGTCAGGGTTTCCCATCTGTTGAGGTCTATTCCTAAGACCTTCAGATCCCGCTTGCAGATCTCCTTGTATCACAGCTGTGGTCTCCCTCTGGGGCGATTTCCCGGCACTCATTCTCCATATAGGAGATCTTTTGGAATCTGACCGTCAGCTGTTCTCACGACATGCCCGAACCAACATAGACGTTGATGTTTCAGTAAGGTATACTGGGAAGTATACATTGTTATGGGAAGGTGGCATTTAATGCCATGGTGGGTGGCTTGCGAGATTTAAGACATCCGTAGTTGAGCACATTCCCCACTGTAAGAGCCTTGTATAGCAACCAGGTACCCAGGGGGAGATGCATCCACCTCCCTGTACTTACCAAAGGTGTAGGGAACATCTATTTTAGAAATCTTGGTGGAAGAGTTTAAAAGAGAAGGTGAAAGTTTTATACAAGCACAAACACACCTTCAAGGTTGTTGCTCTGCAAATACACCCAGTGCTACCTATAAGCTGTGCTCTTGACAAACTATAACCAAACTCAACAAATTTCTCCTACGCCCTCCCCCCCCCTTCATTTTAAGGGAATTGGTGGATTTTTTCATGTCTCTCCACTAGAGAAAAGCTTCTCTTCTTTCCCTGGGGAATAATATGGGGGAAATGTCTCCATCACCATATTTTTTGTACTATTGGATAGAGCTCATGTTGAATAATTTCTGTGTGTCAATTAAAAAAAAACAAGTGGGAGGTTGGGAGGCTATCAAAGGCTACGCTCCCGGGAGGTTCACTAAAGTCAGAACCTGCGAATAGACCAGAAATGGCAAGTCGTAAACATTTTGGGGATGTTTTCTGCTATTTTAAATGATTTTTATGTTGGGGCAGGGTGAACTCAAACCTCACTGGCAGCGTCTCTGTATCTGAAGCAAGGTCAGAAGGGGGAAGATAGTTCTACATCTCTGTGAAAGGGAACTTTGTACAGGGTGTGTGTGTGTGTTTCTAAGCCATGCTGCATCTGTACACTTCTGCCTCAGGCAGTTCTCATTTGAACTTTGGGAAACCAAGGAAAAGAATGAAAGGCAAGGGCAACATATATCATAGCTGTCTGCAAGGGTTTTCGGTTGTTGGCGCCAGATTAGAGCAGAAACGGGGACTGCTAAGCGCGGAGAGGAAGCCTCATTCCATCCGCTTTCCTTATCAGCCCGAAGGTTAGAGAGTCCTGTGCTTCTGCAGCTGTAAATCTAGAACCTTCACCCAACAAGAAATGTTCCCATCTCCTTTACGAGGGCTGCAAGGTAAATCATGTCTTGCAAGAAGCCCACGTTGTTCAGTTTGCTGTCCAGCACCGAAAGCAGCTCCTGATTT